CGATGCTGAATAGCCCAGTGTTCAGTGGTCTCTGCCAGCCACGGCCAATTTACATTAAAGGCTTGGTTCCTTCTACAGCCCACTTCTCAGCCCCTGGGAAATCTCCTCGTTGCTTGTTCCTCGTTTGCAAGGACTGTCTAGTGCAGGGAAAAGTCTTGCCTAACTCTGCTCTCGCTGTTGCCAGCGGTTCTGCCCCGGCTGAGCTGGGATACCACTGGCCGTGTGCGTTTGCTGCAGAAGATTCAGCATCAGCCACGTGCCCACCTTTCCCCCCACCCAAAACTGATAGTCAGGTCTGACCCACCGTTCTCTAAACCTTCAAATTTTTTGCGTAAAATTCGTGCAATTGTTTTTCATGAATGAGAGGAGACAGAGGTGTGGTCTCCCGGGAACTGAAGAGAAAAATGGATTAAGGGTCAGGGATCTACAAAGCGACCGGGGAAATTACACTTGTTTGGGAACAAAGCGTAAATATTAGAGCAACAATAATAACAATAACTGCCTGCCGAGAGCCAAAGAGCTTTAGGGTGGAGGATTAAATGTCATGTGCAAATGTTGTGATCTGTGCTGGCAGAGAGACATCAGTGCGGGAAGAGCCAGCGGTGCCTTCTTGCCTAATTCCCTTGGGACCAGTCTTTCTCCCCTTTCCCCGCGGTGTTTCTGTAACCCTCCAAGCCAGGCGAACCGAGTTATGGGTCAGCATTTCTGCACATACACGCTCCCTTCCCTCCGCGTTCTCGCACTCATCACAATCCCTGGTGAAAGAAGCGACAGTTTGATCACTTTTTGCATCCCCCAGCCGACCCTCGGGAACTCAGGGAATCCCCCAGGCTCCCTCCGCGGCGGCTCAGTCGATGACAAAGCGCTGCAGCAGGACTGGGGAGAGCGCGGCTGCTCCTCACTCCGCCGCGGGGCCGGCGGGCAGGTGGCAGAGAGCCCCGACGGGAGTGCCCGGAGGGTCCGGCCGGACCCGTGAGCATCGAGAGCGGCGAGCGGCCTCGGTCCCGGTTCAGCCCTGCCCGGAGCCCCGCGGTGCCCCACCACAGGTAAGAGATGCCCCGTGCCGGAGCCGGGGCAGGGGCAACCGGAGCGGGACCCCGCGGGGTCTCCTCGCCCGCTCCACCCTGTCGGGGCCGCTCCAACAACCTCTGCCCCCCGGACCTGCGGAACGAGGTTTGGGGGGTTTGAGGGGAGTACCCCAGGCCGCCCGCCGTGTCAGTGTTTAAAAGATCGCGGAGATATTTTCACACCTCAAACCGCCGCCGCCTTCACCCCCCCAAGGCCCCCCTTCAGCCCCCATCGCCTTGATTTAGCCCTTGGTAATTAATTTGGCATTTCAGAATAGCTACTGGGCTGGATAATGGCCTCATTCATCTCCCCAGCCTAATCTGAACAGAATCTGGAAGAAAAGCTTTCAGAAAGACAGAAACTGCCATTCGGCAACTGCTCAAAAGAACTGTCACTCCAGGGGAATAAATCGCTCCTGATTATTTCAACCCGGGTCTTCTCTGCTTTTCCAGCCGCTCCCGATCCCGCCGGGGAACGGCCCCCCGAGAGCCGAGGAGGGGAAGAGCCGCCCGGGTTTTTCCCCCTCCCTTCTCCAAACCCGGGCCGTGCAGGGGGAGGTGGGCGAGGAGCAGCGCATTGTTCCCGGCGAGGAGGACGAGCTGCGGCACCCGAAGCCATTTGACTTTTAAAACAGGTTCCGAGCGCCGGGGCCGCCTTTCCCGCTGGCCCCGGTGGGGCTGAAATAAAGCCCTTCTCTGCTCTCCGTCACCGGGGCTTCTCCCGGGCCCAACGTGGGGGAACGGGGTGGCTCCGGTCTGCCCTGGACCGGCCGTGCCCCGCCGCCGCTCGGCCCCTGGGCCCTCACGGGGGTCGGCCGCGCTCCCGGGACAGGTACCGGAGGTAACGGAGATGCTCTGGTCCCGGTGGAAGTACCGGAGATGCTCTGGTGCTCGTACCAGCGATGCTCCGTCCCTGGTGCAGGTACCGGAGATGCTCCGTTCCCGGTGGGGGGACCAGAGATGCTCCAGTCCCGGAGAGAGAGAGGGCGAGCGTGCATCGGGGTCGCACCGGGGTGGATTCGGCAAGGATCTGTCCCCTTCCGAGCCAGGAGAGTGCCGGGGTTAGCTGGTGCTTAATGACAGGAAAACCAAACCCCAAGGTAGGGGGGTGACCTGTGGCCCTGTGCCCCGAGCACCCCTCATCTCCATCCTCCCGGGACGGCCCCGGGCCCCTGCCCCGAGCGGAAGGACAGACTCAGGCCCGAGCCTCGGAGAGTTGCGCCTCGGTCCCCGCGGAGCTGCTTACATGCATTTAATAGCTCGAGGGCGAGGTAATTAGAGGAGAAAGCCTCAGTAAATCACGTTAATGACCGCAAGAGCCATTACAAACCCCGGGGGTTGTGAAACACCGAATAAACTCAGCGAGAAGGGCAGGAGGGAGGCGAGAGCCGCAGCCCCGGGAACGCCGCCGGGCAGTGCGGGGCCCCGCGCTCGGCAGCGCCGGGTGGTTGTTAAATTAACACCCTGCTAATGGGATTAGGCAGCACCTCGGGTTTGCGGGGGAGTTTAGAGGGGGTCAGGATTTCTTAGATTCACCTAATTTTTTGCTGTGCGATGTTAAAGAACCGTGTGGGCTTTGAGGGACTGGGGATGTGTGTGGGGGTAACCTTTAAAAACCTTCCCGGAGTTTAAAGAAACGCTGAAATTTCAGCCCTGTCCTGCGCCCAGCAGCGTTCCTGGTGCCGTGGCCGGGCTGGCAACAGGGTCGAGGGGCGTCGAGAGAAACCGGAGCTAAACCTGCATCCTTTCCCTGGATAAATGCGGGTCCTCGCAACAGCACCTGCTGCACCTCGAGCCGGCCCCGCGTGTCCCCCTCGGGCACAGGAGCCAGTGGCCTTGTGGCTTCGTGTGCCCCTCGGGCACAGGAGCCGGTGGCCCCATCGCTTCGCCGCCCCGGCACGGCCCGGACTGGTGGACGGGGAGTCCCGCAAGGAAGGGCTGGTCCCGGACACGCGTGGCCGGAGGACAAGCGCCGGGAGGACAGAGCGGGGCTCAGAAACCACGAGCGGGGATGCTCATGGCAGGCACGTGGAAGAGTCTGCGGGCCCGAATTCGGGGCTTCCGGCTGGGGATTCCCATCGCGAGTTCTCCTCCCAGCCGCGGCCGAGCCCACGGGGCGTTGAGGAGAGCCCGCACCGGCCAACGATGTCCCGGGGCTTCCCACAGCTCTCTCGCGGCCCGGCCCCCACGGCCCGGGACAGTTTGGTCTAAATTGTCCCCCTTCCTCCGTGAGGTACCACCCTATCCCAATTACGCAAGTAGGGCCGCAATTCAAGAGCGGGGAAAAATCTTTCTTCGGGGCTGGAGTATCCCAGGACTGTCCGTGTGTGTCCCGGGTGTGCCGGGCTGCGACTGAGTCCAAAGGCAGCTAGGGTGAGACCAGAGGGACTGGACCGACCGCATCCCCAATACACACACAAACACCTCTCTAACTCCGGCGAAGAGCCCCGGAGTGGGACGGAGGGGCTGTTTCCCGGGGAAGAGTTAACAAATCCCGGGAGTGGCGGGGCTGGGGGCGGGTGGGGGAGATCCGGGGGAGCAGTGGGGGCAGGGAGGCTGCGGAGCCCCGCTGCCCTGCAGGGAAGGCGGTTGCATTGCCAAAGACGCCCCGCTGGGCTAGCAGGCCCGGGAGCAGATTAATCAGGCACTAATTCAATTTACAACAACCACTTTTATTCAGCTCGGTGGCAAGGAATTCAAAGCGGGGAGAGGGGCGGGCGGAGGGGAGGGGGCGGAGGCCGGCCTGGGGCTCACGGCTGCTCGGGCAGCCCCCGTCCCCTCGGGCCGCCCCGCCGGGGAGGGGACCGCGCCGCCGTGCCAGGGCCAGGCCGCTTGAGTGACACGGCGTGGGCAGCGCTCCGAGAGAGGGCACCTCCGTTGGAAAAATAAAAGTGCCCTTTTAATCAAAGAGGGAGGGAAGGGGGGCGAGCAGGGCAGCCAGGAGCCGCGGGAGGGAAACTCTCCGCTCCTTCCCGGGACCGTCTCTCCGAGATCTCGGTACTGTCCTCTGGGGCTGTGCCCCCGGCCGGGATCACCGGGGGGAAGAGCTGGGATAGAGCTGATCAAGAGGGAGGCGGCCATCGGGGGCGGCCCCCTGGCACCGTGGAGCTGCAGGACGGGCGGGAAGGGGAGACCAGGGATGGGCCATGGCCCAGTGCGGGACAAGTGCCGCCCTTTAACCCCTTCCTCGCTTTAACGGGAGCCCCTACAAACTGCAAACCGAGGCGGGGGCGGACCCTGTGCCTGGGTTGTCCTGGGGATGTACTAGGAGACGAGATCAGCTCCCTAAAACAACCTGCCGACGGTCGCCAAGCCCGTTAGTTCCCATGTAGTGCCCAAAGACTCGAGATTTCTCCCCGTTAAACTTCCCTGGCATCGCGGATTCTGTCCCGGGGGTGAAGGCTGCGGGCCGAGACCCTCCGGAAGCAGCCTCGGAACGGGCCGGTGTCCGTGGGTGCTGCGGGCTCTGCCCCGGCTCCCCCTCCCGCTCCAGCTGAGGGGACCAGTCCCTGTCTGGCCTGGTAGAGGGGGAAGGTCAGAAGCCACCAGGTGGGAAACTTCCCCATCCCGTCCCTCTCGGTGTCCCCACAGGTGGGCGGGGGGCTCCTCCCGGCCGCTCTCCCCCCTCACCTCTCCACACCCCCAGCTGCAGGGGCGCGGGCGGCCCTGGGGTCCCCCGGCCCCGTCGTGGGCACAGAGGGGCAGGGGGGAGCACGAAGGTCCCTGCGCGGTGCTCGGGGCGGCTCGGGAGCCCCGCGGCGGCGCTGGCGCCCATCGCCGCGGTGTCGGGGCGGGCTCCGTCCCACTCCCATCCCCCGCCCTCCCCGAGGCCTGTGCGCGTCTCTGGCTGAGCCGCCAGTGGATGTCGTTGTTCTGTTCCTTGAGCGCGATGTCACTCCTTTAGCATGACCTCAAACGCGGCGGGGGCTGGGACCGCCAGTCATTCTCCGTGCGAGGGCCGGGGCGGGAGGCAGGCGGGACCCAGCCCCGCCGCCAGCCCCACTTTTGTGGTGCCGCCGCCGCCGCGGTCTCCCCTTTCTCCGCGGGGCTGGCCGCGGGGCGGGCGATGCTCCGCGCTCCCTGAGCCGCCGCACCGCGTCCCTCGGCCGAGGCGCCCCGCGGAGCTGCGCGCCCGAGCGGCGGCTCCCCCGTGTCCCCGGTGCCCCCTCCCCGCTGTCCCCACGCCGCGCGGAGGTCGCGCAGGATGCCGCAGAGGGGCGCGGAGGCGCCGCTGGCCCTGCTGCTGGCGGCGGCGTGGCTGGCGCAGCCCCTGCGCGGGGGCTACCACGGCGTGAGCATGTTCGCCGTGCAGACAGCCCAGCCCGACCCCTGCTACGACGAGCACGGGCTGCCCCGCCGCTGCATCCCCGACTTCGTCAACTCGGCCTTCGGGAAGGAGGTGAAGGTGTCCAGCACCTGCGGGAAGCCGCCGTCGCGGTACTGCGTGGTGACGGAGAAGGGCGAGGAGCAGGTCCGCACCTGCCACCTCTGCAACGCCTCCGACCCCAAGCGCGCCCACCCGCCCTCCTTCCTCACCGACCTCAACAACCCGCACAACCTGACCTGCTGGCAGTCCGACAGCTACGTCCAGTATCCCCACAACGTCACCCTCACCCTCTCCCTCGGAAAGAAATTCGAGGTGACCTACGTCAGCCTGCAGTTCTGCTCGCCGCGCCCCGAGTCCATGGCCATCCACAAGTCCATGGACTACGGCAAGACCTGGGTGCCCTTCCAGTTCTACTCCACGCAGTGCCGCAAAATGTACAACAAGCCAAACCGCGCCGCCATCACGAAGCAGAACGAGCAGGAGGCGGTGTGCACCGACTCGCACACCGACGTGCGGCCCCTCTCCGGCGGCCTCATCGCCTTCAGCACCCTGGACGGCCGCCCCACCGCCCACGACTTCGACAACTCGCCCGTGCTGCAGGACTGGGTGACGGCCACCGACATCAGGGTGACCTTCAGCCGCCTCCACACCTTCGGCGACGAGAGCGAGGATGACTCTGAGCTGGCCCGCGACTCCTACTTCTACGCCGTCTCCGACTTGCAGGTCGGCGGGCGATGCAAGTGCAACGGCCACGCGTCGCGCTGTGTCCGTGACCGCGACGACAGCTTGGTGTGCGACTGCAAGCACAACACGGCCGGCCCCGAGTGCGACCGCTGCAAGCCCTTCCACTACGACCGGCCCTGGCAGCGAGCGACGGCCCGGGAGGCCAACGAGTGTGTGGGTGAGTCCAGCGCCGCGGGCACGGACAGAGGCGGGGAGAAGGACGGCGAGAGGGCGCGGAGGTCCCCGGAGGGGCAGGGAGAGGGAGGGCAGAGAGAAGAACCCGCGGGGGACTGGAGCGAAAGGCACGGGGACATCCAGGGACACGGCGAGCAGCGCAGGGACAACCAGGGACACGGCGAGCAGCGCGGGGACAACCAGGGACACGGGGAACAAGACAGGGACACGCGGGGAGATGGAGAACAGGACAGGGCGAGGACACTGAGGTACCGGGGAGCCTAGGGCACAGGACGGGACGCTGAGGGGCCCCGAAGCGCGGAACGGGGATGTGAAGGCTCTCGGAAGCGCAGGGGATGGGACACCGAGGCGCCCGGCAGCTCCAGGCAGGGAACACTGAGGCACCCGGGAGCGCGGTGGTGGGTGACAACACCGAGGGACCTCTGAGTGCAAAGCAGGGGGCACGGGGAACCGGGGACCACCGGGCAGGGCACGGTGAGGCACAGGAATTTGGGGAGGGGATACCGAGAGCTCCGGAGGTGTGGGACGGGGGAGACCGGAGGCAGCCGGGACAACAAGACTGGGGCACACCGAGGCACCTGGCGGCGCAAGATCGGGAGTACCGGGGTACTCCAGAGGGTAGAGCAGGGGACAGCAGGGAACCTCGGAAACGCGAGGCAGGGGACACCAAGAAGCTCAGGAAGGGGGAGAAGAGACACTCAGGAACCCGAGAAAAGGCCGTTCGTGTTCGGAGAAGCGCGGAGGGGGCCTGGCTGGCTGAGGAGGCTCTCCCGTCACAGGCAGGTTCCGGCCGGGGGTCCCGCAGGGCGCGGCGAGGGGTTCGGTCCGGGCATCCCGGAGCTCGCCGGTAGCCCCGCTCTCTTCCCCGGCTCAGAGGTTCGCCGCAGAGCCCGAGAGGCTCCGTGCCCGGACAGGACGAGGACGGGCTCCGGCCCCCGCGGAGGAGGAAAGTGGCTGGGAGCAAGGGAGGGAAACCGGCAATGCCTACGGCTCCCACCGCTGCCTCCCCGGGGGGTGCGGGCGGCCCCGGGAGGAGGTGGCGGGGCGGCGGCGATTTGAATGAGCCCCGAGGCCAAATGAGAACCGGGCAGCAGCCGGTTCGTTCCATCTCGGACGAGAAACTCGCGTCGTTCCCTGGACGGAGGTGGGGAGTCCTTCACCTCTGCCAGGGGGGAATAAGGGTGAAAGGTCTGGGTTGCTCTTCCCCATGAGTCTCCACATATCCTGCTAACGATTCCCCGCGATTTTCCATCCCCGTTTCCCAGCGGAAACCCTGTGCGCTGCCGGTCCCCTCCTCGCCGCGGTTTAGGGGGCCGGTGCCAGCGTCTGGCTCAGCCGTGTGCTGAGGGTGGGGTGGGGACCCAGCCCCGGGGTCCGAGATGCCCCGGACTGGGCTCGGCTCTCCGCGCCGGGACTCCCCGGCCCCGCGGAGCGCGGCTCCGGCCCCCGCCGCCGGCTTGTTTACACGGAAAACACGGCCCCGTCTTCCAAAATATTTGCAGCTCCGACGATAGGAAAAAACTCTCGCCGAGCGGCCGGGGTTGGGCGCCTTATTTTTTTGGTTTTGTTTTCTTTCCCTTCCTTTCATTTTTTTTTTCATTTTTTTTTAAATTTTTATTTTATTCTCCCAAATCACAATCAGATGTGTCCCTTGCAGAGAGCGCAATTTCTTTGCCGGCGCCTTCAACACCGAGGCACGGCCGAGCCCGGAGTGTCCGGCGGGGAGAGGGGCCCTCTCCTGCGGCTCGGGGGCACCGGGACACACGCGGTGGTGGCTCCGGGGGAGGCGCGGGGGTCCTGGCAGCGATGCTCGGCCCCGCTCCGGAGCCCTGGCTCCCCCGGGCTGCAGCTCCCGTCGAACCAGGGGGAAGCGGCGCGGAGATGCCGCGTCCCGAGGGATGCCGGGGTTATCTGCGTGTTTGCTTTTCTTTAGTCCCGTGGATCCCTCTGCCCGACAGCGCTCGGGGACGGGGATCCGCGTCTCGGTTATTTCTTATATTACTCTCTGGGCTGGGGGCAGGAGGCATTCAGCTACCCCAGCCTCAACCCCCGCTCACGGGCTGGGACGAGTTCCCTGCCTGCAGTTACCGCTATCAGCGATGCCATAAATTTTGGTGCGATCTCGGGGTGTTCTCGGACCCTCGGTCTACTCTACAGGGTCCCCAAATGCTCCTGAAAAATCCTTCAGTTATTGTGCTGGCCCCGTGCTCTTACCATCCTTCTGCCTTTCAATTTATTTCCAATAAAAGGGAAACAAGTTCCCAGTTTCCAGTAAAATGTGTCACTTTTATGCCAGGCTTTGCATTTCAGACCATGAGCAGTCCCAGCCGCGTCAGACTTCTGCAAACGAAAATCGCTCTGTTTTTTCCTTTTCCACCGACTTTGCTGGGAAGTGAATGTTTTGCAAGGATGAAGGTACCATAAAATAATTTTCCACAGCCCGATCCCTGCGCGCCATTCCCTAGGGCCGTACCTATCGCTCTGCAAAACCAGCCACGGCCAAACAACCGTGTTGCCCTGCCAAGCCCACACTGTCTGGAATAATCCCCCCAGATAAAGATCACAATAACCCTATTCAGCTCCCACCCACTTGCTCATGACCATCAGCCCACCCTGATTTCTCTCCTAAATCCCGAGAGAAAGTCAGGCCCTGCGGTCAGGGGGGCTGTGGACTCACCGGGCAGGGGCAGGGGATGAGCGGGGTGTTGGTGGTGATGCCGCCGGTTGCACGCTGGAGGCATCTCCCACCGCTTGAGAGGGAAGGCAGAGGCGGCCAAACCCTGCTGAACAGCCCTGCTGAAGGGGTAGGTCAATTGGCCAAATTAGCCGATTTTGCCTCAGGTAGTGGTGTGAGAACTAGTTACAATTTTTTCCATCAAATTAATTTTTTTTCCTTTCTGGAAAATCGTTGGAGTTTTTATTTTTATTTTCATCCAGAGAGAAAAATTATAAAATGCGTCTGCTTCGCTTAAAAATTTGGGTGTTTTCTTTGGTAAGCCCATTCCCCCTGCCAAAACTGAATCTTTGTTCCTATTCATGCTTATTTGGTGCTGAAAAAGAAATGCACTGCAGTTTCTGACAGAAAGTCAAAATTTCCCACGGGAACGTTTTTTGCCAGCCAGATCTAATTTTTTCTTTATTGCTTCTTGCTGCCTGCAAGATCCCAGCACTGCCCGAGGAGAGGACAGGTCTTGTCCCAAGGAGATGTTCTCCAGGGATCTGCTCCTGCAAAAGGAACCCGGCCAGCAGAGCTTTTCACAGATTCAGGTTCCCATCAACTTTACCTGGCAAATAATTCATCCACGTAGAGCTTGGCTTTGCAGTCCAGCTTTGGCTGAGTGCCTGGGAGAGAGCGTGCTCCAGGGAGGACACAGCTTGGAGACAAGCTTGGAGGTCTGTTCTCCATCCTGCCTCTCTCCAGTGTCGTTGGGCTGGCTCTGTTTGCTCAGCGTTGGTCCAGCCCAAGCCTCACGTCTCCAACCCGGTTTGTCCTGATGAAGCTTCCAGCTCCCCTGTGAGATGAGATTGCAGCTGGAAAAAGCTTGAACTAAAACCTTCTCAGAGCTCAACTGCTGGTGTGAGCTGGTGTGGACACAGGAAAATGCAGGCAGGGGCTTCGATGAGATTTAATGACATCACTAAAATGACACCATTCCACAATTTCTCGGGAACAGCGGTGTCATTCCAAGTGCTGGACATTAACCCGGACAAGCACCTTCCCTTTAGTTACCGTAAAATACCTTTGCATTTGGCTGATAAAGCACTGCTGGACAAGCCCAGGGCTGCAGCCCGCTGACAGGCACTTGGAGAACGGCCTCCAGACTCCGTTCCCAGTGCTGGCTCTGGTTCTTCACAGCCCTTTCCCCCGTGGGGCCGGGAGATGCACCCGCCACCTGCACGTGTGCCTGACGTCAGCAGTGTCTGCAGGTGCTGGGCTCCTCTCGGATTTTGGCCCTCTGTGATGCCTAGAGAGTGTTTAACAAAACCAAGTGCGAGTGCAGAGAGAGGAGGGAAACACATTGTGTTTTCAGATAGGGGATTTGGCACAGAAAGCACAGGGAGCCTGGTGTCAGACAGGCTCTGCTCCGTGGTGTGCGCTGCCGCAGGGTTCCCAGGCTGGGATGTGTCTCATGTCAGAGCAATTCCCGAGCAAGTTTCTCATTCAGCTTAAAGGAAACTTCATCCTGGACGAGGAGTTGACCAGAAACTATGAGAACGGCCTGCCAAACACTCCCAGTGAAAAACTTCCTTCCAGACAAACCTGGGGCTTTATCACCTCCGTGGTGGTCCAGGGATGTATTCGCAGGGCAGTGCTTACTAAAATAGCTAACAGGTTCCCTCATCACGGCCAGGGAAATCACATCCTCCCACAGCAACGAGCTCCTCTCACTCTGCTCCCACAGAGGGATGTAAGGACTGCAGGATTTCATTCCAGGGAGTTCCCTCTCTCCCTTATTAACTCTAGTTGATCCCTTTTCTTTACCCTGCATTAATCACCTCTACCTGAAAAGCCTTCATGGTTCTCATCGTGTCTTTTCAACTGTTTTCCCCATTGGGTGATTCTTTCCCGTTCCCCTTGGCCTCCAAAAGGGATGAGGAGTCAAGCTGGTGGTGACTGATGGCTGCAGGCACACCAGAGAGTGTCTACAAGCCTTGTTTGGCTGGGCAAGCAGCCCCCAGTGCCTGCCTGCAGGCACCCTGGGAGCACATGGCAGAACAGGGAGTCAGGGCAAGTCCTGAGCCTCCGATGGGTGACAATAGTTCACAGTGGACAAAACTCATCTGACCAGGAAGGACTGGGCGGGTGGGAGATGTCTTTTCTGGGTTCTCCTCTCCTGGGGTGATTCAGGGCTTTGGAAATGGTCTGTCTGGGAGGGGAACAGAGGGGAAGAGGCTCTGGCTGCAGCAGTGGGAAGTGTAGTGTGGGTAGGACTGGCAGAGGTGGCAGGGACCTGATCACACAGAGGCACATCCATTGCACCC